AAAGAGCAATAAAAAAAAAAAAAAAAAAAAACAACAAAAAAAACCAAACCAAACCAAACAACACAAACCCCAAAGAAAGAAGAGTCTCTGGGCTTAGAGACACTGGTGTCAAGCACCAGGGAAGAAGGGAGAAGTCCAAGGAACAGTCCAGCTGGAAGAAACAGGTGGAGTGATCACAGTGGCGTGAAAACCTTTATGCAAGATATTGCTTGATATATAGGTATCAAAATTAAGTTCATTAGTGAACTATTTCATTAAAGGGATCAGCAGTATCATCGTTACCTCTGAAATTTTCCCATCACTGTTAGATTTGAATTAACTAGCATAAACACAGATTAATGGCAATGGACTGCTAAATTCTTCATGAAGACAGACAACAACTGCAAGCCCCACTTGTCACTGTGCTACTGCATTTTCTGCTATATGTTCCTTAGATTTTTATATTACTCTTCTCATTGGGCTTGGCTTCAAGAATCACTTTATGTAAGGCTCTGGGTACCTAACATCTAAATCTGCAATTGCTTCCTACACATCCTTCCTGGTTACCTCATGGGACCTTACACTTTTCTCCCTTTTTCTCCAATCCCTAAAGAGCGAGCTTGATTATGAGGGTAATATGAAGCGAAAGATGTTATTGCTTCCCAAACTGACAAAAACATGACAAGAAACGTTATTCTTCCTTCCCAGATGAGCTTCAGAACACCAACTTGCTGCTCTCTAGAGCTTTTCCCAAACAGCCGCCAACAAACTCATACACAGTTATCTTCACATGCTGCCACCAACATGGAAATCTTTGCAAGCCAATTATGCATCATTCCGTACTGAACTGCAAAGAGACCTTGCAACCTGACCTGCAACATTATGCTGCTCGGTGCATCTCTGCTCTAAGGACTGGTTCCCATCTGCCCCCATTTTGCAACAGGGTAGCAGTGGCAACCCCAAAGGCACAGAGCAGAGGCATGAAGAGCAAAAAGTAATGTGAAAGAAAACTTCTCAATGAAGCATTAAGATTCGCTGGACATGGATAGAGACCGCATTTTTAAAAACAAAACTAGCATTGCCAAGAATCAGTCATGTTGGAGTTGAAGCAGCGAAGTGGAAAATCCAGTCTCAAGCTCAACATCAAGTTAAAGATTTCCAGAGGAGTTTTACTCAAGTTACTGTTACACAAAGGCTCTTGGAACTGTGTTTTGAGAAGTTTTAACACTTCCACTATTTGCAGGAGGTTTCTGAAAGCCATTACATAAGGCAGTTGTCTTCTGTTTGTCTCATGAAATTCTACTTCACTCTAAAAGTTACAAGCTGGTTAAAAAAGCAAACAAAAGACCCCCAAACCAAGCCTTCCTTCACAGCATTTCCCTTCTTGTACTCATGCTGCTCAAGGAATATTTCATTATATGCTAAGTGAGCACAATATAGTTAAAAAAACTACACTGTACTCCAACAAAACAGCAACAGCCACGTAACACTGGAAATACTTGCTATCATCTGGCAAGGGGAAAGAATTGCTGATAAAAAGAAAAAAAAAAATCACATTTCTCCTGGTTTCCTGCAAAGCGGTTTTGCAAAATTTCCAATGGTACAGGTGAGGCACAGGAGCACAGGGTCAGGTACCCCCTTGTGCACCTCCCAGAGAGGTAACAACAGAACTCCTCCAATTATCCATCTGTGTATTGCACAAGGCTGCAGTGAGCTGCCAGCAACAACTTATCCTGGAGATATCAGCTCCCTCTCTAGCTCCAAAGACCCTGAAGTGGGTGGGTTGCCTCTCCCATTCTGTTGGCCCACTTCTTGGCACAATAGTTAATAGCTTTCCAGCAGCTATCAGCTCTCGGTCCTTTACAGCACTGTGGACATGTGTACCAGCATCTGAAGACAACTAAGGATGTAATCTGCTTTAAAAAATAAAAAAAAATTTAAACAGTATCCTGCCTTTAAAAATTAGGGGGAAAAAGGTATTATAAACTGTATTTATATGTAATTTATATAAATAATTATAACTAGATATAAAAAGATCAGAAGAAATTCATAATGTCATTTACCCCATTTCCCCACCTCACAGCTTACAATTAACTCCCACATGGTCCAGAAGGACTGAAAGACTTTTTTTTTTGTTTTGTTTTTGCACTTCATGGATGACTCTGCTTTAAGCATGAGGTTGGACCAGCTGCCATCTTGGGGTGCATTTCATCCGGAATTCTCCTGTGCTTCATAAAATTCTGATACATACATAGACAAGGAAGCTGTTATGACTTCACATTAAAACAAAACCTTATAACTGTTTTTTAAAAAAATCCAAGGAACCTTTATACCTGGACGGAAAGAAAACATAAATGGTAGTGTCTGCTTCTTGAGATTTATTAAATCCACCTATTTGCTCCATCTTCTGGACCATAAGCATTCTCACAAATGCTACAATCACGCAATCATACGTTATTCTTTCCTCTGGGCTTTGAAACAGCCTGCATACCGAACAGACGCGCAAGGAATGGTGACAGAAGCATACAGAGACAAGGTCTGAGAAAAGTGACCTAAGTGCTTTAAATCTAAAGTGCTTAATGCTCAATCCTAGAAAAGATATTTGAACATATGAAAAGGTAGCATCAGAACACGCAAATGAAGCCCAGCTGTGCTCCATTAAATTAAAAACCAGAGACAGCACGTATCCAAATCAGTTACGCTATTGTGCTATACTAACAACACTACCCCTCATGGACCACGCTCCTCCATACCAAAAAAGATCTGCTAGGCACACCACTACAACATTTCCTCAACATTATCAGGTCTACTACCTTCACACTCCTGCCTCTACAAATTCAAACAGTTCAGTTATACCCCACATGGTTACCAGGAGGCATTGCCTTGTTTTTCATTCTTACCTTCTCTCCACTCGAGTAGAAGAAATAACGCAATCGGACAATGTTACAATGATCCAACTTTCTCATAATCTGGAGCTCTCGGTTCTGAAACAAGAGAAAAGCAAACAATTAGAAAAATTCTTACAGAGAGTACTGCAATGAACACCTTAATATACAGATACAGGAGCTGACAAAACTAAGAAACCAAAGAACAACTAAAGTTTGAAAGAGGCAACAGCCTTCACATGTTTATTAGTCTTTCTTCCAATTACTTCATCACCACGAACATTGACATCTTTGAGTACATTTTCCCTCTATAATAAAGGTCCACAAACCCACCACAAAATCCAAGAATTACCTACTTTAGTAAAGTTTCAGTGGCAAAAAGCAAGATGACATTAACTTTCCATTTTTATTTTTTGATCCTACAATAATACAACATAACAGGCAAAAATGGTTGGAAGCCTATCCCCCTTGAATACTGTAAAAATAATGTAAACAATGTAAAAGCAAACATAACATTTCCGCCTACAGACCTGCCCTTCTCCACACTGCAAAATAGGTTTGCGATGGAAGGTAATTTCCTGTACCATTTACTTTGCAGTACCAACAAAAAGCACCTGAAATTGAGTAGGAAACTCAGTTCCCACTTTTGTTCAACCAAAGTTTAATCAGGTTTAGGCAGAGAGAATAACTGTAATTTTCCCATTTTATATCAACCTGAAAAAGCTGTTTAAATACAATCAGTTCATTACGTATATGATAAAGATGGGGACTTTACTGCAACATCCATTGTAAATGAGTCCTAAACAAAAGATGGATCTTATGCCTAACAGAAAAAATGAGTAAAAACTTAAATTCCAGGTATGAATAAAAACAAGCAAGAGAAATTAGTACAGCTATGTTTATTATACTTCATTCCACGGCTGTTGCTACAATACTCCTTTCTCCTGTGGTCACATTTACACATCACTGTTTCTCCTTCCTCAATTGCTTGACAATCTGAAGCTTCAAAAATAGAAGGAATTCCAGTTTTTACTTGGATCACAGTGTTGCTAATCATGCATCCTAACCAGCTAGGACTGATACACCAGACTAATACACTGGTGCTACGAGCATCATGAACTCTGGCCAAATTCGGGAATATTTGTGAAGGAAATTCTTTAGCCAGCACACATCCTCACATTTAAATGCACGAAGCTAACACCTAGTTTGTGTGGTGCTGCTGTCGAAAGAAGGATTTCACATTCTGTGTATCAGAGTCTATTACTATGATTAAAGCTTAAGGAACTCTGCAAGAACCACTTGGAGCTTCTAATGTGAACATGGTTACAAACTCTGCTTTTAATTCCTCTAAGCCATGTAGCCTTAAAAAAAAAAAAAAAAAAAAAAAAAAAAAAAAAATAGGATGTAGTATCATTAATCCCACCATCCCTGCCACCCGCTGACTGAAAACATACTTCAGTATTAGCCAGCTCTTTACAAAACACGAGTGACATCTCACACAATTATCGGTTGGCAATTATCCAGCTAGTAGTTAAGGAGAAAGCAAGTCCTTCCCTGAGCCTGCCCAGCTTCTGAACAGATTAAAGTCTAAATCAGTTTGGTGCACACCAAAACAGGCCTAGTCTATCCTGAAGGATGAAGAGAGAAAATAGGAGAAAGCAGGGAGGAGACCTTTGAGGCTTTCATGCATCTCCTGGAATCCCATGGAGTTAATCTGTGGAAGAGGAATACAGTCTTCATCACATAACCTTGTCAATATGCCTCGCATTTCAAAATGAGAAGAACGTTCTCCTGGTAGGAACAGGAGCTCAAATGTTCTCCAAACTTACTAATTCTTTATTAAATGCTACCAAAAAAAAGTCAATCTTTGAGAGTCATGGCTGGGGTTCCTGTGACTTATGGTACAGTTCAGACTCCAGACCAACAGAAAGATCTTATCCTGTCCAAACAGCATGGCATTGCTGGCTCTGTGATGTCTCCCTGGACCTTACAACCTGGGGCAGATTTCAACTAGCAAGCCAAAGCAGGGATGGCTTTAGGTCACATCGGTCACTGAAACACCAATTATGACAAGAGATTAATTTCTCCAGTTGGCTTTTACAGCACTTAACAGTGTTACTACAGGACTAAACCTAACACTGCAAGTTCCAGCACCTCAACCAAATTCCACCTGCAATTCATAGCATGACGTAAGGCAAGTAATTTTTTTCCTCCCCTTCTCCCAGTGGTTGGGAGATGGGAATAATCCCTATATTATGGGAATAATATCTCATGGAATTACTGGAAGAAACATGAATAAGCATTAATGTGCACATATTATTTTGGCAATATCTCTACTAGCTCCTTAAAATACCCTTATATACTCTAAGTCAGCTTATTGCTTCATGTTCTTTAGATAGCATGTATATGCTGATTGGATACACTGGGAAAAAAAAAATTCAACAGAAGTTATTCTAACACTAGGCTGAAGTTATATTTATACTCCGGTATCTCATCCTAGCACAAGCACAGTCTGTGCTCACTTTGAAGCCTTCCATTCTGATCCATCTCCTTGGGCTCTCATCCTGACCATCTGCTGCAGCTGCACAAACAGTGCTTCAAGAGGTGCTAATATCAGGGATAACTCATAAACCAGTTACACAGTAACCTACATCTCACATCCCGTGACTAGACAGAAGGAAACAAATTTCAACAGTCATCTTCGGCAAACAGTCACATCGGCCATCTTAAAAACCAAGCTGATTTCTAATCACTGCTCCCTGGCAAAGTTAAAACTGGAAATACTCAGTTACAAAGCTCGAATTGGATGCGGG